TCCATTGCTTGTGCAATAATTATTATTATTATTATTATTTTTTACGGAGGCTAAAATATACTTAAAGCAGTTTCGTAGAAAACATTTGTGCCTTTTCGTGCACACCGCGCATGGAGTCAAACGATACGCGTTTGCATACGAATGCATGTAAATTTGGCCCCAAAGAAGAGCGAGTGTAAATCACGGCGTCGGGAGTTTAAAGATTCATGAACCACTTGCATCTGGCAAAGTGCAGCAGCACATAGACACGTATCGCGCGAGAGTAGATTGATGTGCCTTCGCGATACCGAGGTTTTCGAACGACGGGAGCGAGCCCATTTTCTTCGCAATCATGAATGAAAAATGTTCGAAATGTCCCCTATCGGACCGATTTTTTGGCTCTCGCGTTCCGCGAAGCCCCGAGGAGTGCGGGTCGCGTTGGAAAATGCAAATTCCATAATTTTACCTCGAAACACGGGGATGGGGAAAAACCATCGCGACGTTTCACAATTTTCTCTTGGTCCGGAATACATTGGAATCACGGTCTTATTTGACAGTGCGTGGTAACTTATATTATTTCACCGATGAAAATCCTACGCGTGCGTTTAAGTTGGCCTGTGCTCAATTACAGGTTTCTTTGCAATACCCCGCCTGCATTCTGATGTTATTCATTTATATCAAATTATACACTGTTTATTGCTGAGATCGTACTTACGTCCGATTTTGTGTTATAGTGTAGAATGCACATTATGAATAATATACACGAATGAGTTTACAACAATTACCTTGCAATCATTTGTAAGTCCATCAATACATCTATTGAAAATCAGAGATGAATCGTAATTAACCTTTCCGTATGGAAATCCGTAAATTGGCGCCGTTACATGTAATGAACGCAAAGAGCAAAGAAAATTAATTTCTCAACAGCTCAATCGTTTATCGTAAAAAAAAATAGGTAGTACTTAATCATCGTGTGAAAAATAACTTTTGACCAAATTGTTAACTGTACCTGCTAATTATACTTTATAGCGATGCATAACTGAAGTTTAGAGAAAAAATTGTCAAACGCTACGACGAAAGTTATTTTTCATGCACACGTAACAACCATGTCCTTCGACTTCCGTTTTCGCAAAGCTTCCGCCTCATCGCGATCAAGACGTCGTTGAGCAAATGGCAAAAATGGTCTTTGCAATTTCACGCACCGCAATTGACTTCATGAGCATTTAATAAAGTCAAAAGGAGCAATCAGCAATGGCTCACTTAGCGGTGCTTACCGAGGCTGCACGGATTGCAGTTTTGCATTGGCTCGGCCGTCGTCGCCTCCCCGTCAGGTTTGAGTAATCACGGTGTCCCCCCGCGGGACTCTTTGGTCCGCTTTCCATTTCATCGGACGTTTTTTTCTCGCCGTTACCTTTGCGCTGGATTTATTTATTTTTGCGTTGTACTATTTTTTTCCAACTCCATGTTTCGTAGCAGATTCGGCGTTGAGAAACGCTGAGGTGCAAAACGCGTTTCTTTTTATGGTACGCAGAGAGAAATTCACATACGACTCCAAATTGTACACTCGTTCGCATCTATGTAAAAATAGTTGGAATTTCTTTTTCCTAAATTTTTTTTTGCATCATTAAATTCGCAGATGCATTGTGATTCTTAAATTTTATTATAATTAAAACAATCTATTAATACACACTATCTTTAATAATTTACAGTTATTTGAGATCCGTCGAATTTGTTCTACTTTCAGTAACCTTAAAAGTTGAAAAATAAAAATGCACGAGTCCCAATTCAAGTACTTGATTTACGTTACGTCATAAAAATAAGTGTAACGGCGCGGTCACACAACCAGATTTTTACGTACTTGATTTTTTACACTTCCTTTTAAAATTTTTGCGCTGAAAGTAATACTTTCCAGAAGCATGTATACTCGTACGTAATTACCCATGAACTTTTCGATACAATCACGTTTTTGATATTTTTATACGGCAATGCAAAAATACACCACAATACACTGTTTATACTTATTTATAATTGGATTACGCTTGACTGTGCGGTGTTGCATTCCTCCAAACCAAAGGCTTATTTTTTATAATATCGTGTGAATTTATAAACAGAGAACTTCGATAGGTTCGTTTTATAAGACTTAGTTCCTTAATTATTGTTATTTTGTTACTACAATAGGTGCACTAATTAGTTACATTTTTGAGGAGAAATTTTAATGACATTTTGTTAAAAATAAAATCATCTCTTAACATAATTAAACGTATACCGGCACACTCACTCCTTAATTGTATTACATGAAAAAAAAAAAAAAAAAAAAAAAAAAAAAAAATTACAAGTCTCCGGATAAAATGATCAGTTGCTAGTCACTCGATCTCTTGGAAAATGTAATTACACACCAGCCATTTTTACCCATGGTAACTTGAAAAATAATCAGACCTAGTATACATATCAAAGATTGCGAGAGTAAGACGTCAGAGAAAAATGTAAAAGAGAACAAAAAAAATGGTATAATGTATAGTATAGCTAACAAGGGTCCCCGTATGCGATAATAAGTAGAATGAGTCCGACGTGGTAAGACCAGAGGAACAATCAAGTGAACTCCCCGTGCTCCCTAATCCCACAATATCGCATGAATCCATTATCCACGAGCTAATTTTTATTTTTCAACCAACAACACTCCACGAACTCCCACTCCCCCCTCTCCTCAAGAAAAAAAATCCCCTGTACGCCGATCTATTATCTCCCATGGACCCACTTAACCGTTCCATCCACACGTAATCCCTCGCGACTACGATATCCTTGCCCGGAGCCCCTCGCGATCTCCTTTCTCTCCCTCGGCTCTTTCTCTCGACCTTCTCGGGCACTTTTTTCGTCGTCTGCTTCCCTCATCCGCTTCGCACGCACGCACGCACATAAGTAGCCTATATACCTACACGCGCGAGAAAGTGAAAGGACAATAAGATCCCAGCGGCACACGCCCCGCGGATCTATACTCTCCGAGAAAGTGTCCGAGCCAATTTTTTTTCCGTGCTCCTTCTCCCGAAAACAGCCGGCTCCTCCCCTGCACTCGTGTGCTCCTAAAAAAAATTTTTAAAAATTGTAAAAAAAAAACGCCTAAAAAACCAAAAGAGAGCGGCTTGCCCACGTGTGAGTGTTACGTCACGGGTATCTCGGAACATTTATGTGTACGTATGTTTGTACACGTAACGAAAGTGCGAGCAGACCACGGGCTTGTCGGCGCATGTATGTGTGTATCGGCGCGGACAATCTCTAGCCCCGACGTACATGTATTCAATTGTAAGCTGCCCTCAACCTACCTTCGACACGAAATTTCTTCATCCGCCCGTGAACGATTATTGTACCGCGCAAGTTTTGATGTTTGCTCGAATTTTTTTTTTTTGTTACGAGATCGGTAATAACAAGTGCGTCTCGCGTTTATCACGAGGGTGGACAAAAAAGGGGCCTAAACAACCCCAACTGAGAAAAAAATTCGTAACAAGCCTACCCGTTGTTTTACATAGGAGATTAAGAATATCGAGTCCTCTCCACTGTCCTACGTTTCGATTTTACTTCCCAATGAGGTTTCGTTATCTATTCTTACGTACACAATGTTTCAGAGGGACTCTCGTTTGGAACCCTTACTTTCCTGATGGATTTGATTCAATTTATACAATTTTTATTGGAGTAATTATTAACTGCTATTTTTACGAATTTTAATTTGATTTTTTTTTTTTTCTTTCGATCTTTATCCCGGAAATGGTTGGAATGCTTGTTATGATGAAATAGTAGCGTTCGTTATAAATGCTGCTTTTGGGCGAGGTATCTGGAGAGCAATTTATTTTCTCACACCTTTTTAAGAGATCTCGATTCGAGGTATCGTTACACGTGCTGTCAAATTTAAATCGTTCAACTAAAAAGTTGAATCTAATGGCTGAAACAGGTATGTGTATTTTACACGCTTTCGAGGTAAATCGTGTCGTTAATTAAAATACTGTGGACGCGTTTTTTGTAGGCTAAGAAATTTTAAGTAGTTACGATGTGCAAATTTGCTTACATTCAGATAAATCGAGCTAATTATTATTTTATCACGAATATGTGTGCGCTGATTGTTCTTTCGCTATACTTTTTTTCTGTTGATATAAAAAGAAGGATTTATTGGAATAAATTATTAATTAAAAGAGTGGCAAGTGCAGTGGATAACCATTGCATATAATTACTCACTACGTACTTGATGTATGATTGAAAATCATCATAATTAAAATAATTTTTAATTGCATACCACTTTTGTATGTAATGTAATTTTTTTTTTTTTTTGTGAATAAACTGAGACTTTTTTAAATTACAAATTACGAAAGCTATTCTTTACCATTTTTTTATTCCACAATTACACATTGTAAGGGTAGTAATAATATATAATAAATCAGCAATGAGATAATAAAAATTTCATGCTTATAATTTTCTATACAATAGAATATTAATTGAGTGAACAGTAAGAAACTACGATCATGTTCAGGGTCGTTAAATGATCGTGAAAACATGAATGTTTTACAGATAACAATGGTTGTAGGTATATTGCATATAAACTCAAATAATCATTTCTGTTGAGAAATTAGTTAATCTGTTAATATATTGTAAACGCTTGCCAAGATTTAACGTACCCAATAATGTTCATATTAAATAATTAACGCACTAATGGATAGAACTCGATGATGATTAAAGATACACATTTACGTGATTAACAATTCAACCTTAATCACGTACCTCGATCTTTACACTATACGTCCTACTTTTATTATTCAAGATTTCACGATGAAGGAGAGCTCGAAAAAACAGCATTCTTTCTTATTAAAACAACAGAGTCCCATGAATGATCCAACGCGAAACCCGAAAGAAAGATAGCCATCCATCAACAATCCCCTATAAATCGCTACCCCATCTCACCTGTAATTATCACCTGTTTTCGGCGTATAAAAATACATTAACACACCCGTGTAAACGTACAAATCGCACGTGTTTCACAGAAGCTCGAGCACCTTGGGTTCGCTCGTGCTCCTCTTGTCGCTCCTGAGCTGTCCCAGCAGCCATGCCATCCAGCTGGAGCCGATCGGCATCTACAACAACCTCGCCAACGCCGGTGCCGCTGTGGGGAGCGAGGAGTGCGCTCTGATCCTCGACGGAGCCGGACGGAGCAGCCTCTACGACTACGCCTACAATCTCCTCCGCGGCGGTGCCTAGTACGTACACCCTCTTCGTCCATTAAATTTACCAGTTTTCCGCAATTTATTTCTATAGTTTTCTCCGTTGCTGTTATATTTGTGTACTTACCGGAGTCTTGTGTGTGTACGCGTACGTTAACCACAAGGGCACGGGAGTTCGTTGCTACCACGGCTTCTGTTGTACTTATTTGTTGGGCATTTTTTCGGCTCCGTCCTATTGTACAAACAAGGATGTGATTCACCGCCTATATCAGGTCATCGTTAAATGAGAGCCTCGCGTGTGGATATACGTGTATGTATGGATTGCGAAAAAGTGTTGATAAAATAATATACCCTCCGTGAATGGGCGGCCGAAGGGAGAATTGTTAAATGGATTTCAGCGTTGCGTCGATAACGCCTGCGATAAATCATATACGAACGATTGGTGGAGGCTGCAATCGTGCTCGAGCCATATTATACATCCGTCGAAAGTAGTACCTCCGTTCGCTGAAAATGTAGGCCAACGACTAAATTACGCGTGTTTACTTGATCTTCGGCTTATTAAGGTATTAAAAATTGCAAAGAAAACAACGAAAGGAAACAAAAAAAAAAAAAATTAAAATTACGACACCATTGTACGTGCAACGATATACATTATACGTATGCGTACGAGTTATGTAAAAAGCGCAGTCGCTGTTCTGCAAAGCTTTATCCCCCTGTACCGTTTTATCCTTTTCTTTTTGAAGTTTGAGGTATTTTTTGCGAGTTGTGTACGTACACTTTTTACGGTTCGATAAAAAAAAAAAAAAAAAAAGAACGCAAGAAAAACGCTGCGTACGCGCTTCGAAAGGGGGTCAACTGTGAACAATTGCGATTATCGGGCCGAAAAATGAATAATCGTTTGTTTGTCCCGCACGAGCAGCCCAACGAGCGTCGGCGGCCAGACTTGCATCACCTACGACGCCGTCAATCGAGCTTTCGTCGAAGCCTCCAAGCGAGTCCGTAAGTATCATTTGCTTCTGATCCACGCGTCCCATCAATTATCTCCCTCACCGTCCACATCCCACACATAACTCTCCGTATGGTCTCTGACTTTCTTCTCCCACAAATCTAACAGCGGTACGCATCCCCCCTCATCAAAATGCTCGCGTTTGAATTTTCTCCCTTTTTTTTCGTTTTCGTTTCACCCGCGCAGACGTGACCAAGCCGAAAAACGAGCAATGGAAGCCCGAGTACCTCGCCAGCGTCGGCGAGCTGCTCCTCGACATTTCCACGACCCTCGCGCATACGTGAGTATTGGGCATCGGAAGATCCAAGATTTTGCAGGCCGAGAGACGAGGTGATAACGGGGATTGTTCCAGGTACGGTTTGACGGTAGAGCAGGTGGAGAAGAGCTTGCCGCTGCTCGACACCTCGAAGACGCTCGTGCGCGACGTGTGCCCGGCTTTCATGAGCAACGTCGAGTGCCGGCCCGGCAAGTACCGGCGCTTCGACGGCCTCTGCACCAACTTGGAAAATCCAAACTGGGGCGCGAGCATGTCGCCCTTTGTCAGGTGGGTGTATAGTATGTTTCGCGTCGCGTGGGCTCATCTCGACGTTGCTGGGGTTGTTGCGCACCTTTGGCGGTTAACGTTATACTGATGTCTTCGACCGACATGATTTAAACTTCAAGTCTTTGCATGTATATGGCTTCGAAAGATTTGATGGACATTGAATTGTAAGCAAATGGCGCGCGTGATTTTTCAAAGTCATGAAATCAGTTCAATTCTGTCTCTATACTGCAGGCGTTACGATTGGCGCCGTTAAATTATGAAAATTCTTTTTTTCCATCCGAACGCACTTTAGAAAGTACACTTGGCTTGCTGTCCAATTTTTACCATGTGGCGTCTTTTTTTCCGAAAACGTATCAAGTTAACCTGCACTTGTTACGCGTGAAGTGACGGTATCATATTCCGTTGGGCAAGTCTAATCGAAAATCCCCCACGTATAACACACACTCGAGCCGGTTGAGAAAGTTTTGGACAGCAACACAATACAGGGCCAACAAAAATCGTGCCAAAAAGCAAAAAATCCGCCGAGTTACGACAGAGTGGAAAAAAAAAAAAAAAAAAAAAAAAAGAAAACTACACCCTCCCAAAACCAGCTGCCGGCGTTTGCAAATATCAAGACGCGAAACTCGAAGAACTCGTTGCGTCAGCTCAAAGAAAAGGGACAACAGAACAACAACTGTACATTATGCACTGTACTCTCGAATCGGTGCGGCACACGTGCCTGTCCGAACTTTTCGTTCTCAGGCTGCTTTAGCCCATTACGCAGAAGCAGCCCCTCCCTGGGAAGCTGCGCGTATGCGCGTGCATGTAATCCACCAGGTATCGATTACGCATAACTTTCTCCGATGCACGTATTATCATTTTCCTCTAGTTAGACCTTCGGGCGGCTCTTTCGTGGCGAACTATGGGTAATCCGCTCTGATCTCGAGTGGCGCGCCCCACCATCAATCTATTATCTCTGCTTTGGTTCTCCTTGCGGCGACGATGACCACTAGGGCTCTCACCCACGCCTACAGGTGTATCGGTACAACTTTGGTAAAATACTTTTGCGCTCTCTCTCTCTCTCTCTATTGTTTTTTTTTATAATTTACACGCAACCCAAATACCCAAAATTCCAAGGTTGCGCGCAAAGTTCTCACTTTCATCGTCGATTGGGTAATTTCACATGCCGCGCTGATGTATGCCCGTCGCTGTCGTTTCACTTTTCACACGAATATGTTTGAGTGACGTTTGGATCGGCTTACGGTTGCTCGTTCGATGATTACTCTATTTGCTTGTCTACCTACTTACATAAAGTACATACAGTATTTCATGACGCGTTCGCGCGCCTCGTCAAAAATTAATTTGTCGTACGGGAGGAAATTTAATGGATACAAATTGTCTGGCTAGTTTTTTTTTTTTTTTTTTTTTTTTTTTTTTTTTTTTTTTTTTTTTTCCCAAATTTTTTTTTGCATCATTAAATTCGCAGATGCATTGTGATTCTTAAATTTTATTATAATTAAAACAATCTATTAATACACNTTTTTTTTTTTTTTTTCTTTGGTCTCGATCAATGTTTGGATAATCAGTCCCACTGTATATCTCCAAGAGAAACTTGAACATGTAGTTTCGCAAGGCCATTGGAATAGTAAGCATCACTTTATGTTACATGTACTTTAGGCAGGAAAATACGAGAAACCAGTGCAACCGATGTGCCAAAAGTGCTGCATAACAAAAATCTATACTTATTGGGTACATATTTACATTGTTGAAAATAATGATAATAATAGCCCAAATCTCGCGGGGGTGTAGGTTGATGACTCCCCGCTTCTCGGACGGCATGAACGCACCGAGGGTAAGCGTGACCGGCCGAGACTTGCCGCTCTCGCGCGTCGTCTCGCGCACCATACATCCTGACGAAGGCTTCCACGACCACGCGGGCACGATCATGGTGATCGCCTGGGGCCAGTTCATGGATCACGATTACACGCTGACCGCGACACCTCTTGGTAAGCGTGGAACATCTTTTTTCGTTTTTTTTTAGTCTTACATGTACGCGTGATCTAAAAACTGCAGATTAATTGGTTCACGAGCACAATACGTGGGCATATTATAGAGGTAGCAAAACAAAAGATGCAGCAACTGAGCGCACCAACGTGAAGTTTTTCGCAACGTCTAGAGCATTCTTAGCACTCGACGCCTGACGATCCATTATATACTAATATGTAATGTAATAATGTGCCCTTTCGTGTTCCCAGCGTGACGAGACGACAATGACATTGCTCAAAAAGCCGCTCATTCGACTAGCTGCATCCATATACCATTGGGCAACGAATTCGCGTGTGCTTTTACACTGCTACACAAGAACAAAAAAAAACAAAAAAAAAAGTACGAGAAAACAAACAAGACACATGCACGTACATACGAACAAAGAGGGACTCGTCTCGGGTTTTCCATATACGTTTGCGCGATCGCGAAATTCATCAAAGTAATGACTCGTTTCTCTTTGCTCGCCGGGGATATCATATACAGTATACGTACGTATCTGCAGGTATAATGTAATGTATATATAGGAGTCAAAGTTGCGACAGTACATCGTCACGCGCTCCATACCGATACACTTTATTTTTTAACACCGATGTTGTTCATCCTTTGGACTACATAAAACTCGTGTATACCGCTCACTTTCACTCGACGTTGTTCTCGCGATGGACTGGTGTACCAATCTATTTTTACGGACTACAATACGACAGGCTTTAATGAGATTTTGGGAGATAACAGTACTTTTTGGAAAGTTCAAGTAAAGAGTTTGTTCAAAAGGGGGAAAATAAATCATCAAGTTGCATCCCCGTTTGAAAAAAAAAAAAAAAAAAAAAAACTGTCCAAATCGCTCCACCACAGACCCAATGAATCGCAACGACCCGGAAGAGTGCTGCAACCGTCCCCCGGAGCACAAGAACCCCTACTGCAACGAGATACTCATCCCCGAAGACGACTACTTCTACCGACTCTTCAAAGTGCGCTGCATGGACTTTGTGCGCGCCTTCCCCGCGGTCAGGCCGGGCTGCCGTCTCGGTAGCCGCGTGCCCTTCAACCTCCTCACCGGCGTCCTCGACGGCAACACCATCTACGGGATCAGCGACGAGTTTGCCAGGTCTGCTTTTTCCCCTCCATCTGATTGTATACATGTACAGCGATTTCTCAAAACCCCCAATTTGTCTCTCGTGCCACTGACATGTTATTCATGCCGTTGTCCTTCAACTCTGCCATCATCGCGAATATCAGCAAACTGCGAACCGGTTACGCCGGGCTGCTGCGCATGAATCCCGTGTTCGAGGAGTACGGCCTGAAGGACCTGCTCCCCCTGAAGCTCGACATACCCGACGAGGGCTGCACCCGGCCCAACCGCTCCATGTACTGTTTCGAGGCTGGTGAGCATCCAATCATCTCATACATCAACTACCCTCAACCGTACACCTTCCCCATGAAAATTCGTTCAAAGGTGAGATCAGAGTGAACGAGCAGCTGGTGCTCACGTGCATGCACACCCTGATGGCGCGGGAGCACAACAGGGTCGCCAAGGGCCTCGCTGAGGTCAATCCCCACTGGGACGACGAGACGCTCTTCCAGGAGGCCAGGCGCATCGTCATCGCCGAGATCCAGCACGTCACCTACAACGAGTTCCTACCCATGCTCCTCGGCAAGAGCACCATGGAGAAGTTTGGCCTCGTTTTGGAGAAGGAAGTGAGTAGTCCCCTCCTCCCCTGCCCCCCCCCCTTTTTTTATCATTGGTATACATGCGTGTACGAAAATATACGTGTTTGGGGTTCAGGGCTACTGGGACGGCTACGACTCGAACGTGAACCCCGGGGTGATAGACGCCTTCGCGTCGGCGGCCTTCAGGTTCGGCCACTCGCTGCTGCCGACGGCCATCGAGCGCTGGAGCAAAGCTCACAAGTTCATCGGTATAACTCAGTGAACGACAAATTAATGGTTTTTTTTTTTTTCGTCCATAAAACTCCACGGTGATGAAAACACAACCGATTGTCTTGCTCTCGTTACAGCTGCGAAGCGATTGTCCGACCTGATCAGGCGGCCGTTCGACTTGTACAGAGCCGGTGTGTTCGACGAGTACTTCATGGGCCTGATGAACCAAGTTGCCCAAGCTATGGACGACTCGATCACGCAAGAGGTAAACCGATCCGCTCTCCCACCCCTTTCCTGCTCTATTGCGAAATTATACGTATATACGCTTATACGAGTGCACGGGCACGCTCTGCTGATCTTGTTCCTGTAAAGTTTTTATCATTCGTACTTGGGGTTGTGCAACACATGATGCGTAAGTTTGATTGGTTATCAGTTCAATGCACGTCCATGTACATATTGGCATCAATGAGAAAAAATTACTTTGATTGGATCAAAATCGGGAAAGTGTGCGCGTATACACGCGAGAGCAGCCGAGCTTATAGGTAACAACAACAACACACAATTAATTTCGGTCTGATTTGGGCCCGCAGGTGACCAATCACCTTTTCAAGAAAGTGGGCGCCAAGTTCGGTATGGATCTGGTCTCGTTCAATATGCAGCGGGGCCGCGAGTTCGGCATTCCCGGATACATGGAATTCAGGTTCGTTTGGGCCGAGGCCGAGTCGTCGACGCCCGCTACGCGACTTTCCACGTCCATGCCGACGCTCGACGCGTTTCGACATTTTCCTCCGGCCTTCCACGGACCGTCTTGTGGATACACCATATTGCATGCTCTTTTTTGCCCACCGTCCCTCTCTTTCTCTTCTTTTTACGCGGTGTTTTCGTGTCTACGTGTGTATAATATACGTGCATATGTGCGATCTCTGTTTTGTCCATTTCAGGAAATTTTGCGGACTACCCTGGGCCGACACCTTCGACGAGCTCTTGGGCTCCATGCCCAACGAAACTGTGCGCCGGTACTCCACTATTTTTGAGTGAGTGGAACATTTCTACTACCTTTTTTTCATCAGATTTTCCAATCTCTTCTTTTTTTCTCTCTTACCTGAAAATTATTTAATTTGCCCGTCGTACTTGTGCTATACGCGATGACAATAAAATTGCAGACACCCAGCTGACGTGGATCTGTGGTCGGGCGGAGTTTCCGAGAGACCCTTGCCGGACAGCATGCTCGGGCCAACCTTTGCCTGCATCATCGCCACCCAGTTTAGCAATTCCAGGCGAGGCGATCGATTCTGGTACGAACTTCCCAACCAGCCGTCGTCGTTCACTCCTGGTTAGTTTTTACGGCGTAAAATCGTACGGATGGGTTTTTATTCTCTGCTTTTTGCCAATACTTATCCCCCGAAAATGTTGTTTTCGTTGCAGAACAATTGCGAGAGTTGAAAAAAGCCAGATTGGCCAGAATCATCTGCGACAACACCGATTTGATCGACTCGTTGCAGCTATATCCCATGGTTTTGCCCGATTACGAAGTGTGAGTACAGCTTTTTTGTTTTTCTTAACACGCGTCCAAAAACATCTATTTTCGTGAAAGGAAAAATATTGCTGTATATTGGTTGGGTGTGCATTGGAGCGCGTCTAATGTGTCAATCTGATTACAGCAATCCACGAGTGCCATGTAAAGCTGGGATCCTCCCGAGAATAGATTTCAGTAAATGGGCGGAGTTTCCCGAGGCGGCTTACGCGCAACAATACGTGAACGACTTTGTGGGGCAGTATGGTCAATTCGTGAAATGAAATTTAACATATTAGCTGTAATATTACATGACGAAAGTTTTTTTTTCTATCGAGTCAATGTTTCCGCGATGCAGACCTGTAACTTGGAAAAAAAAATTTTTTTTGAATTCTTTATGATTCGATTACCGCTGAAGATTAAAGCATTTATTGTACGTTACGACAATTGTGCCAACAGCACATAAGACTATAGTGAAATGTAATGATGAAATGATAGTTTCTCGCAATAATTTCAAGAGAAACATAGCAACTTGGACATGTCGATTTGTATGTGTGTTTCATATTTTTTTAACATTTGCAGTTTTGATTAGTTTGCGGCATAATCATAAATATTGTTTTACACATATGTTTAAAAATTTTCGGCATGTTTTCAGAGTGAATAACAAAAAACTAACAAGTACGAAAAATTATCTTTAAATAATAATACTCGATAAATTTTACTATAAGAAAATTAATACAAAAAAAATATTTGACGTTCTTAAATTGAATACGTGAATGAAGAATAGTTTCTATTTAAGTTTAAGTCTTTTTTCTTATATATATACATATATAAAAATGAAAAAAAAGTAATTATATATTTTGACAGTATGATGGGGTTTGAAAGTACTTATCATAATAAAACGTGTCACTGTCATAGTTAATCTACTCTTGTACATTTAATAGCTTTGTAATTTATACATTTTATATGGTTTTTCCGATGCAACTTGTAAATAATTTTTTGTATTTTCGTAATTAAAACATTACAAAAACAAAAACACACAATTAAAATGTCTTTGTAGTAAAAAAAAAAAAAATAAATAAACAACAATAAATAAAAATACAAAGAAAAACAACCATTAATTTTTGTTCTTTTAGTTATAAACCTCCAAAATCCTATGCATGATAATTTCCGATCAACATTGTTTCATTTACCACCTATGGAGTACAGAAGAATACGGCTCGCACAAGTAATTCAATTTTTTTGAAATTCTCTTTTTTTTTCCCCCTCACGTAGAGTACAAATAAGTCAATAAAATTATCGGAGAAAGGTTCGCTGTTGGGAACTATACGAAAAAAATCATTTCCTTGAGGAAAACCTACTATATAAACCACATCAGGACCGAGAGTATCATCATTTTCAGTTGAAAAAGCCTTGCTGCTTGTTGTGTTTCAGTTTCACCAAACTAACGATTCTTAGCCTCAGTAAGTTCAAAGTATTGCCGGATTATTCAAATAGTTTTTTTTCCCAACGCGCTAGTGGTATAGTTTTTTAAATAAAAGTTAACAAATTCAATTCACCGTTTGTGCTTGAGCCATGATCTCCACGAAGCGTTTGTTTCTCATTTTGCTCCTAACTTGCGTGGTTTTCATCGCAGTTTCAACGGCACATCCTTCTGTTGGTAAGTTAACGTTAAAATAAATCGACATAGTCAGCTTTTCAAGACCCTGATTCAATCGATTTTCCCTAGGCACGTGTTTTCGCAATTGCTCGCAGTGCAAAAAGTTCCTGGGGATATACTTTGACGTGCAGCTTTGCGACGAATTTTGCGTCAAATTCAAGGGAAAAATGACACCCGACGTCGAAGACGCCGACAGTTTGGCTCCCTTCATTACGAATTTAAACGAAGTTCAGTAGCTTATAGACCAAATAAGTGCAGATTTAGTTAATTATAGGATTATGTTGCGCGTGTTTTTTTTAAAATCTTTTTTCAAAAGCGCTTGACAAATGTTTGTTGAGAAACATGGATGTACTAATGATAGTCATAAACGATTTATTTTTACATGAAACACCTAAAGTATTATTTGTATTAAAACTACTGTAAGCTACATTTATACATACAAGTATGCTCTTTTGTACAAAAAATGCTAGTCACACCCGTGATAGTGAAAAAATACCGTGCATCTGATTGTAGGAAAATATTTGTCTTCATGTATTGGCTAGTGACGCTCCGCACTCGGGTATTGCGGAAAGCGTTTGCTTGAATTCTAACTGTTGTATCTGCAAACAATGTAAGACCAAAGAGTTAATTTTGCCCATTCGTAAGCTACCGTTTGATTATAAATTATTTTATTTGTATCAAAAAAAAGCTATTAGAAATAATAAAAAAAAAAAAGATGAAATCAACGTTACACTTGTTATGGCATTACTTAAAACTAAAAACGTAAAAACTCACTCGCTGCCTCAGCGCCTTCTCGTTGGCGGTCGCCTTGGCCAGCAGGTCCTTGACCCTCAGCAAAAGCTCAGACTTGCGTCCCAGCTGCTCCCTGAGCAGAGCCACCTCCGAGACGTCCTCCCCGGACTTCCCTGCGCTCTCGGACAAAAGGGCGACTCTCCTCTGGGCGAGCTCCAACTCGGTCTCGAGAAAGGCCACGCGCATCTTGGCCTGCTCGCACTCCTCGCGCAAATAGGCGCAGTCGCATCTCGACTCGAGGTCGCTCTGGACGACGGAACTGCGGAGCCGCTTGTTCTCCTGCTGGAGTTTCTCGACGAGGCTCTTGAGGGCGACCACTGTCCTCTCGAGCTCGGCTTTCGTGCGCTGCGGCCCCTCCCGGCGCGGCAGGCCCTCCACACCCTTTTCGGTCTTCAACAGCTCCACGTACTTCTCCAGGTGCTGGATCTTCTCCTCGCACCTCGGCAGGTTCACGTTCGCGCGCTCCAGCTCCAGCCGCAGCTCAAAGTTCTCCGCCTCCAGTCGCAGGTTCTCCTTCTCCAGCAGCTCGTGCAGCTCCCGCGATCTTCTCGCTTCGGCGCTCCCGTACTCGTCGTCCTAAAAAAACTTGGTGGTTCTTTCGTTGCACTTGTCTATATCCAACGAAGCAAAAAAAGACACACCTCAAAGGCGATGGTTGCCGGTCTCTTGCGCTCGTCGCGCATGGCGATCTCGCTGTCCCTCTGGCAGAGCCGTGCGAGCAGCTCCTTGACGCGGGCCCTCAGCTCACGGCACTCGGCGCGCAGATCCTCCACGAGGGCCTCGTCGTGATTGACCACAATGACGTCAGGGGTCGGGGGTGTCTGGGGAGCCTCGCGACTCGTCGCAGCAGCGGCGTACTTGCGCTGCTCGCGCAAATAGAGCTTCTCGCGTTCCATGCAGGAGACGAGGTTGCGGAGCTTCTCGTAGTTGGCCTGTAGGCGCTGGCACTCCTCGCTCTTGTCCTTCAGCCTCTCTTTGAGCCGCTCGGCCGTCTGTTGCCACTTTTTGAGCTTTTCCCACAAGCCGAGGTCCTCCGCCGTCTGTTGTCAAAGGGGACGGCATTTTTTTCACATTTATCTGGGAGGAAGAAAGGAATCGTACCTTGGCTCGTTTTGCCCGTTGCGCCATAAAGTGCCGGTCGAGCATCTCCTTGGCCTCGTGGAGCTCCTCCTCCAGTTCCCTGGTCTTCCGTTCGAGCAGCATCTCGCGCCTCGAGGCCTTTTTCTCCTGGATCTTGACGGCCATGTGCCTGTAGCGTGGGGGAGAGAAAAAAAAATAGAGGATACGCATAGCAATACAGAGGAATCACAGGGGGGCAACCTCACCTTCGGCTGAGCTGCTGTTTCAGCTCGGAGATCTCGCTCCTCAGGGACCTCTCCCGCTCCATCGAGGCTTGCACCTGTCTGCGCAAGTTGTCCAGCTGCGACTGCGACTGCTCGATGTCCTCGACCGTGTACGTTGTGGATAGCTGTTGCGGCTGCTCTTGTTGCTGCTTTTCTAGCTCGCTCTGTTTTTTTTTAGACATACATTTACTGTATTATCCATGCAGTGCCTAAGGAAGAGCGCTCACCTCGATCTCGTCGGCCAGTCGGTTGTCCTTGATCTGCAGCGTCTTCATGAACGACAGCACCTCGGTCTTTGTGGCTGGCGCCCGGCGGCTCTCCGACACCTGCTGGCGCAACTCGTCCGTCTCGCGCTGCCGTTTAACCAGCTCTTGGCGGTAACTCTCGATCTCTTCTCTGTGCTGTCTCTCTAATCTGTGGATTTTACGTCGATTCATTACGAGCGAGGAGGCAATGATAAAAAAGAAAAGGCGCACCTCTTCCTCATGCTGTCCATGTGCCTCAACCTGTCCTCGGCCAGTCTATGCCACCTCTCAGCCAGTTCGGCGCCGATGCCGAGCTCCGTCTCGAGCCTGGAGATCTTTTCCCTCAGGATCGACGTCTCCTCCAACCCTTCGTTCTCTCCGGCTGGTGAATCCCTCTCCGGGCGCTCGGACCTACGGATGGAGAACAAGGCCAGAAGTAACTTTTGCTCGACAGCAGGATACATCAAATCTGATATCTCGATTTGCGCGTGAAACCCAAGCGTGGAGTAACGACTCGGGTGTAGAAAGTTCTTTTTCGGCAAGTCCACCTGTGCGCGATCATATCGGGAAAAAAAAGGAACGTGGGTGGACAACTTTCTTCCCATGAAGATTAATCCCTGAAGTCTCCGTGGACGAGTGTTATTACTCAAAACAACAGTGAAGATAAGACTAACACATGAGGGTCGCGACCACCTTGGCCGTTAGTCTCGGCCAGGCGTTTCTTGAGTCCTCTGATTTCCTCCTGGAGCCTCGCGGCGGCCTCGCTGTGCTTGTCCCGGTCCTCCTTGAGTAGGTTCTGGTAGCGCGCGATGGTGCCCTCCTTCTGAGCGACGATCATCTCCAACGCCTTGATGGTCGACTGCAGGGCTTCGTGGCTCGTCGCCGCGCATGGCTGGCCCGTGCCGTCCTTCTGCAGCTCGAAGGCCGTCTCTACGTGGATCGTCGACGGCAACGGCTGGCGCTCGTCGAGGAGCTTCGTCAGCCCGGCGACTTTGGCCCGCAGCTCCACCAGGTGGTTCTCCGACCTCGAGAGGGCCACCGCGCGCTCCGAGGCCAGATTTAACGCCTGGCTCAGCTGTTCTTGGAATACGGCTGCGTTGGCTCCTGCTACGAGCACTTTCAGTTAAAACAGAGCGTCTACCTTTTTCATTACACGTAGCGTCAAATAAAAAAATGTATAAAATGTACTTACCCTTATCTTCCGACTCGTCCGCGCTGTCGTTATCCTTCTCGCCATCGGTATCCGTTTTGGAGTAAATGGCACACTGAGTCTCGGCCTCGACCGCCTTCACCTCGGTCTGGACGGATCTTCCCACTGTCTCCACAACCTTCGCGGTCTCGGTCTCGGTCACCTTGTCGGCGGTAATGGCTCTCCTCGCGCTCGACTTTTTCACCAGCCAGGCTTTTTGCGCCCCGGCCAACTCGCGCTCCATCGCCGCAACTCTGGCCTCGCTCTCCGCCAGGCTGGCTTTCGCGTCTCGCGACTCCTCCTCCAGCTGGCTTATCTGCATCTTGTACTTTGATTCCTTCGCAAGAAAACACCAATGTCTCAACGATAAGCGTATAAACGGCACGCAAAATACGGCAAAAAACGTACGGCCAAAACTTTCTTGCTCTCGTCGGTGAACCTCCTCATGATGTCCTGCACCTCGCTACTGCCGATCTGCTGTTCCAGCATGTCCTTCAGTTGCTCGACGATCTGCAGCCTACCCGTGAGCGTCTCCTGCTGCACCTTGAGACCCTCGCTCTGGTCCCTGATCCTCGCCACCAGCTCCCTCACCTCGTTCCTGTCGCCGTTCAGTTTGCTCAAGCCCGCCTCGTACCTCTCGTACGCGCTCAGCGAGGTCGAGCCGGCGTATTGGTGTTGCAAAAAATCAATCACCTCGACGTACTCCCTACGCCCAGCCATCACGTTTTTAAATACAACAACACCCCTGGACAAAGAAACCACTCACCCGTCCTCCAACGGTTGCCCACCGTCGCTGTTCCTCCCGTTCTTCCTCGGGACCCCCAGCTCCTCCCTCGCGCGCGCCAAGTCTCGTTCGAGGGTCCTCTTTTGCTCCCTGAGCTCCGTCTCCACTACCTTGCAGTTGGCGAGCTCGAGCGCAAGCCTCGCCGTTTCCCCGACGTCCCTGTCCCCGCTGTCCGCCTCGAGCCTCATCACGCGCCGCCTCAGCTCGTTGAACTCGGCCAGGACCGCCGAGTCTATGGCCCGGTGCGTCTGCGCCTCGTCGCGCGCTATCTCGGCGCTCCTCCGCAGCCTCTCGTTCTCCAGTCCCAGCTCAACGGCGCGCGCCTCCAGCTCGCCCAGGCGCCTCGAACTAGCGCCTTCCCTCGCACCAACCAGCCGCGAGAGTTGCACGTGCAGGCCCACAAGCTCGTCCCTGAGCTCCTGGACAACTCGCTCCCTGGCCCCCTCGTCCGTGGCCACTTTGTCCTCGAACGCGGCCCTGAGCCGTATACTCGACTCCAGGTACCTCTGCCGCAGTTCCGCGTGGACCTCGGGCGCCACGGAGCCGGCCAGGCTTTTGCGCAGCGCCACCACCCGGGCTTCCAGCTCCTTCTGGCGTTTCTCAGCCGAGTTGAGGGCCTCCTTGAAATCGCTCTCCTGGGCGGCGATCTCCTTGGCCATGGCGTAGATCTCCTCGGACCTTTTGCCGAAGACGTCGTCGTGGGCGTCGTTCATGGGGGTGTCGCCCGGCGAGTCCGAGGCCACGTGGTGGAGACCGTCCTCGGGGGTCTCCGTTTGGAGGAGGTCGTCGCTCTCGGCTGCCTTGCCCGACGCCCGGCCCGAGTCCGCGTTCGGCGAGTGCGCGCTTCGCAGGGACTTGGGCGTCACCGGTAGCTCGGACGTGGTTTTCACGTCGGGGGTGAGGTTTTGCGAGGAGCTGCCCGTTTGGCGGCACTCGCCCTCCTCGACGCTGCTCGAACGTTGCAGCAGCTCTGCCTCGTAGCGCAACTGGTTTTGCCTGTAACGAGGATGAGGGGATGAATTCCGAGGAATTGGGATTTACTTGTAACAATAAGGTGGATTACGTCGCATCAATTGTACCTTATTTGCTGGAGCTGAGCGCGCAACTCGGCGTTGCTTCCTTGAAGATAGTTGACCCGTCCCTGCAACCGCATGGCCGGGTGGTACCATCCGGCCAAGTGCCTGGCGTCCAGGGCTTCGAGCAGATTCTCCAGAGTTTGAGACTGGATGGTGACTATGCTCTTACCTGCGAGAAAACGGTCAATCGCTCGTCTCTTTTTGATCTTTCACACGTGGGTGTACGATACTTGCCATCTTGATTGTGAATGGAATCCAGTATCTCGTGCATACCCTGTCTCAGGGCTTCGTTTTCCTCGATGATCCATTTGACGTTCTCTTTCATCCGGCCCAGCTCCAGCTGGTCCTTTTCCGACCGATGGCTCAGTTCGTCCACATGCTCGCCGTCGCTCGCCACGTCATTGGTTTTGTTTAATTTGTTTCTCAACGACTCTTTGAGCGCTGTTTTTAACTTTCTTATCTGCGATGAATTCGAAATAAATGGCCCAAGTGTGGTAATATTGTCGTGTCGAGCGCGTGTAACTTACCTGGAATTTCAAGTCGACGTTTTCGCTGGACAGTTGGTCGTAGTTCCTCTGTACCTGGTCGTCCTTCTCTTCCTGCGTCTTTTGCCGATGGAGAATCAAATTGTCCAAAGAAAACTCCTCACCCTCCAGGTCCTCCAGTTTGTCCCTGTAGACCCAATTTGTTACTGCCGATCGTCAAACACACGCGAGAACCAACGAGCCAAATACCTCAACACTATGATGGCCTCCTCGTAGCGCGAGTTCTCCTCTTCGAGCCTGTTGACGACGTCGACGAGGTCCTCGATGTGCTTGTTCTTCTTTTCCACTTGGCAGCTTAGTTCTTTTATTTCCTCCAGTGCCTCCGCCAAGCTCGAGTCCTCGTCCTCGTACTTGTTCAAAATGGCCAGGGCCTCGCACAACTGGAGCCCTCGGCTCGTTAAACCTCTCGTTCCAAACCACGTTACATTTTTTTATGATTACCTGCTCGCTCTTCACTTTGGCATCCTTTTCCGCCCTGTCCAGCAAACTCTCCAGTGCGCTTATCCGCTTACTCGCCTCCTCGGCTTTTTTGTTCGCGTCTCGCTGTTCTTTTACACCTCTCTTTGAAGTTGCCCGCCTAAAAGTCACCATTTTCAAAATTTATACGTGAATAAAAGAGCCAAAGGGTGTTTTATCCCCCCCCCCCCCAATAGGTTCCGAGCATTCGAACGACCAAAAAATAGCGTATAGCGTTAAAAAGCATCATCGCGTGGTTAGTTGCTACGAGAGATGGGCAAGCATGTTTAGAAAAAAAAGTTTAAATTCTCCTGCTTGCAAAGTGCTTGATTCGCATCACGACAATAAGACAATTAAAAATGGGCAAGAACATTTTTTTTTTTTTTTTTTTTAAATAAAGAGCAAGACCATAAATTAACAATGGGACCATCCCCGCGGCCCTTCTGATCGGTATAACCTAACCGGCGCCGAAAATTCTCACGTCACGTATAATCCGAGCCTCGTTCTCGTGCACGTCTCGGTAAAGCCAGAAGCAGCGGACGAGGAAGGCGACGGCAGTCGTATCTGTACTAACGGTCGACCATCCGATTTGAACCTCTCGATGAGCAAGCTGCTCTCGTTTATCTCGACCACCGCCTCGGACAGCTTCGCCTGGAGCTCGGCAATTATCTCGTCGCGCCGGTCAATGTCGCGGACCAACCGCTCGACCTCGGCGCCTCTCCCAACACCCGGTGACCCGTCCGCTCCTCCCCGATCGCTCGCCGCGCTCATCAGGTTCTCCTTCAGCTTAGCGATCGTCCGGTCCTTTTCGTCCAGGATCTCCTGGAACACCATCATTTCCACCGAGTGAAATTACTCCCTCCCGGTTGGATGTGTGCTCTCGTACCTTCCACTCGACGATCCTCGCCTCGACTGCCGTGCTGAACTCCTCGATGACGGCGTCCCTCTCTGCTCTTTCGCTGGCCATTTCTTCGATTTGAGAAACGAGCAGAGCGTTTTCCTCCTCCACCTCGGCCAATCGGTCTTTTTTTGAGACGCGGTCAAGTACGTGAATAAGTGCATTACCAAGCATTTGATACAATTTATGGGCAAGAAAGAAACAAGTGATACCTTTTAGCAAAACATTCTCATTCTTTATCGAGTTCATCTCCGCGCTCGTTGAGTTCATCCTCTCGACGGCGTCTCTCATCTCGATCGTTAGCACTTTCAGTTTTCCCTTCAGCTGAGCATTGACGTGCTCCAGGTTCTAAAATGGTACACACACAGTTTGTTACATTACCAAAGGAAACAATAGGTTAAACAATAAACAAATTTCATCATCGGTTGCTCGCTTCGATTTTTACTCACGTTCAACTCGGGAACCGATCGGCCTTTCTTGGCTTCCTTGACTCTCCTTATTGGGCTGTCCATCTTGACAGTTGATTTAATTTTTCATTTACACTACTCGCGGGCGAGGAAACTCTCAGTTTCGGCCGGACGTTCGTAAATCACGAAACCACGATTTGGTGCATCGTGTTTTTTTTTTTTTTTTTTTTTTTTCACCTAATTCTACATTATTGTCGACAAAATCACACGTGGTGGTTGTTTTTTAAAAGACAGTGGTGAAAAAGTTATCCCTCGTACAAGTGTTGAATCGGTGATATCGAGTGACATTTTGAACGCAACGTCCTCCTTTTTGAATACCTTATGGTGACGTGTGTTTGTTAATACTGTTTTCTTTCTGTTTTGGCATTTGCTTATACTTAACAAACCGATCACACGTAAAGTGCTATCGAAGTGGTTTTTCCTTTGTGGCACATAACTTGGTCGAAAGTTGAACTCGTACAGTTAATTTTTGGTCGTCATAAAACACCGTAAGTCATGAATTTTCTGGAAAAAATAAAAAAATAATAACAATGATGTTTTTTTTCCCTCCGTCTCTTTTTTTTCCCGCTGTACGAATAAAATTAATCTTACCCCTAGATCCGAGGGGAGTTGTTGACCCACGCGATTCCTCGAATTCACACACGGTGTACAATCAACCGACACACTTTTACAAGCGTTTAAATAATAAATGGAGCTCGTGCTTTACTGCACCACAAGACAAAAGGTGCAATCGATAGAGAAAAAATGATTTCCATCTCCTATTTAGGCGACATGCCTGTGTACGTGAATTTAAAAAATTACTCACACTCGTATAATTATATTAGCGGCCACTATTTTACGTATTTATGTGGATCCACCAAGTGCCCGATGGTATTGGAAAACCCTCGCTTGATGCTGTGTAAATAACAAATGAATGAACACAATCGTTTCAAGCAACAAAAATAATTAAATTGTAAAACGAAAAGGTCTAATGATATTGCACCGTGTAAAATAATCGACAAGTGCGAGAAAACAAAAGAATAAGAAGCGCCAGTCGCGTCGGTCGCTAATGTTATGCTCTTATTTCATCCCTAGCGACGTGTCGGAGCGAAGAATAAACATTGGTAGCGACAGGGAGGGGGTGGGAGGCCAAGTCGAGCTTAATGCATTTGGTATAATAGGGTAGCGTTAGACCGTATAAATGTTATCCATGTAAAGGCTACCTGAGTAGGTGTGAAAATATAAAGAAAAGCTGCAATTTTCAGTTTTCCTCGAGCTGGTGAAATTAACGATAACAATACGATAGTTCATTTGTTGGATTAATTGTTTCGTGTGACGCTTAATCGCTGGATAACACAATTTTTCATTCTTCGGTACTCTGATAATATGTACATCCCAAGAACGTCGCGAATCTCAAATTGAGTAGAAAAAACTTCCCGACTACCATGAGACCGATTTTTTATCAAAAAATTTTTATTTTCTTTGTTTATCGTAAATAACAATCAATTTGACTGGACTAAATAAAAATANTTTTTTTCCGAAAAGTTCATGATTTCAAGTAGTATATCTTAAGGAAGTTACCAAGTTTTAGTCGTATAAATGTGTGTCGAGGGAAATTACTTGTACTTAAGAAGCTATATATTTACTATAATTATTAAATTATCTTCCGATATTAGTACATGTACGTGTGTACACTTGTTATAAAAAGAAATTAAAAAGAGGCGAAGCTGCTAGTTGGTATTTTGCATAAATTTTAATACAAAAGTTTCGTATTTATTGAAATTTATACGCAGTGGATGTGTTCAGTTTACGATCAGCGCCATCTCGCGTTGCTAATTTTGAGTTAAAAAGTACCCCTAAAATTCTCCAGGAAATTGTCCGCCAGAGCGCACTAGTGGGGTTTTCTCAAAATTTTTGTCGGCTGCTGCTGAGACGTGCGGACTGCGGAGCTGTCCAGACGTCCGAACATTGCGTGTATTTATTTTTGTGTACATAAGATCGATTCTAGGATTAGTAAGTTTTATTTATGATTGCAAATACTTTGCAATACAGCTATTGAATTGTCACGCTGTTTTAGCTTTCTTGTCCTACCTTTGATGCATACATCGTGATAACTGATCCATTATTCGAATTTTTACATTACTTTTTTTAGATTTACTTTACAAAGCACTCATAAACTGTCATCTGTCAACGGTTCCACTATGTAAATGTTAGGGTACTATTTGTACAATATTTAACAATAACGGTATGGTCATATCTTTCTTGAACTCTACTCAATGTGATATGTTGATTATTTGAAACGATTGCTTATTATAATTTTCTAACTAACCTTGTTGAAAATACTTTTTCCAGGGTAATAGTTTCAGGGTAATTTTGCAAAGAAACATGGACGGAAAAAAGATTGATTTAACAGTATCAGGGTCAGAAATTTTTGTGTGGAAAGCAGACGGTGAGTAATTCTATCTTTGACAGCGAGTGGATATTGCTTTTTCAAGTTTTCAAGTGAACATTTTTCTTCAGATTGGCTAATATTGAGGCAAACCCACAGAATATTGGGGGACTGTATTGGATGCATTGCAAAAAAACCAAGACAAGAAAATATAAGTGGACTGCCACTGCTTTTGCTTCCAGAAGAGGCCAAATTACTGGTAGAAAAGGATATTGGTCGCCTAGTTCAGAAACCAATGTTGAAAGAGATACCTACTGAATCTTTGAAAAAAAAATTTGAGGAGTACAGGAACAAATTATTTTTAGATCAACAAGATATTTTGATCGAAAAAAGAAAGTTGCAAGTACTGTTTTTCTTGCAGTATATTTTTACGATTATATTGCAAGAATTTGATAATATTCATTGAATTATTCCGTAGCTTTCAAGTGTTATGGATCGAATTGTAGAAGGTAAAAAGAGGAAACTTTTAGGACTAGACACAAGTAAAAAAAAAGTTAAAAAACCTTTAGATGATGAGACAAGAAAAGCATTGGATGAGATTGAAATTGACAAAGAAGCTCTTATGGAGGAAGAAGTTGCCAAGTTACCTAAAATTAAAAAAAGTGATGCGTTTGTTCAGATACATACAGGTAAATAAATAGACGTTTTAATGGTGATGAAAAAACCATTTACAAAAATTTAAACTAATTTTTTTTTATTGATGCAGCCTATCCATGGAACACAGGTGATATTAAAATAGAAATGTCGATCTTTCCAAGTACAGATGAAGAAGTACTTAAATACAAAGTGTTCAAGGATATGTGGGAAAAAGGCTACTACATAACAAGTGGTCAAAAGTTTGGTTGCGATTATTTAGCATACCCAGGTAAAAATTTTTCATCACAAACTTTGTAGCCAATGTGTTTTGAAGACACTAAATTTTGCTGATTTTTAGGTGATCCAATAATGTTTCACTCTCAGCTATTAATCTATTGTAAGAACAGAAACGATGAAATATCCATACCAGAACTCATTGCTGAAAGTCGCATAGGTAGCCATGTAAGAAAGACTTTGGTTTTTGCAACTCTATCAAATGATGGAGGAAGTATAGAGTACTTTTCCTCAAGATGGGCAGATTCTTCTATGGGATATTTATGAACGCATTTCAATAGACTAAATTTTTTTATTTTTTTGTACATTTAAATAAAATTTTACAAATAGACTTCATATTTTATCAACTAATTTAAAGCGGTTGTGTGCAGGTTCAGGGATAACATTAAAGTATTTTTTGTAAATAGTCTGGCCTTGCCTTTCTCCATAATTAAGTCTGATCCAACTGTGATCCCACTTGGGATTGGTCTTTTCACATGTTACCACAACTTTGCCTGGACAGTAGGCAAACAAAGTTCCATTTCTACCAAATCCAACCTACAAACGTTACCAGATTTAATTATTAACATTAATATTGTAAAAAAACAAGATGAACAAGAACTAAGAGTTATCTTACATTAAGACCAGGGTGAAAACGAGTTCTATTCTGAGTGACTAATATATTTCCTCTATGCACTTTATGGCCATCCTGAACCTTCCATCCTCTGTGTTTTGCTTTGGAATTTCCAGCGTTCTGTGTTGTTGTACCAGTTTTGTGTGATGCATTACGACAACATACTAAAAGTAATGTAAATATATAAGTTACACATTTAATTATGATTTAAAAAAAACATTTTTATCACTCGTATTTCCAAATTATTTGATACCACAAATTTGTGGTCCACTTTTTTAAGTAAATAATAAAAATGTTAACAAAAATATTGCTATAAAACAAAAAGTAACCTAAATTTCGAAGAAATATCTTTTAACAAACTCACCGACAAAACTGGTGTTTGGTTTTACTAGATATTGTCTGGCATGGTGTAAGTATTTATTAGCCAAACTTGTTAAGAATGGCATTTCCAAAATATCCTTTAGTTGTTATGAACAATTACAAACATTAAAACCACTTTGTTTTCGAATGGGGTGTTTTCTTAGCATTAGATGATATCCATTGGGATTTTGGAATCGGAACGAGTGGGTTTTAGGGTTTAGTCTAGGTTGACGCTAGCGCTGCCTGACCATGCGACGTTACCACGACCTACGTAAACTTAACTGCTGGCAGAGGCAGCATTTAGTAGTGATTACTACAAGTACTACTATTTTACTATTACTACTATTATTGATTTTTGTTTATAGAAGGGTGCCTTATGTGGGGGGGGGGGGCAAGGATCAAGATGACAATTGCATTGCACACACGTTTAATTTATTGACAAGAGATATCTTACGTTGTATTTAACCTGTTGTTATTATCTATAAGTAACGTGTTTGAATAAAGCAAATATAATATTAGTATGATGATGGTTTTGCGTAGCTCTGAGAAAAATAATGTTGATGGGTATCTCTGCATGACATAGCAAACGTTTACTTCAAACTAAACATACTTATTTAAACACTACTGTTGTGATGATAATTTGGAAATAAAAAATATCACGAGGCACCACACGAATTAATATTCTTTTAAAGAATGCAATGAAATTATATTTATAAAATTCAAGAATGTTTTTTTTTCCGAAAAGTTCATGATTTCAAGTAGTATATCTTAAGGAAGTTACCAAGTTTTAGTCGTATAAATGTGTGTCGAGGGAAATTACTTGTACTTAAGAAGCATATATTTACTATAATTATTAAATTATCTTCCGATATTAGTACATGTACGTGTGTACACTTGTTATAAAAAAAAAACTACAAGAAACTTATACAAGCTTTGGATCATCATCCATCAATATTTATTTTTTTATTTTTTTCTGGAATATGAGAAATCGTGCGTGTTATCATCGGGTATATTTAACTTCAATGAGTTTAACTTTTTTCCTTGTATTAATTCATGCAAATATACTAACGATTACATGGCTCTACTGTAATTATTACAATTGACAGTAGATCTATGTAATTGATTATAAACAAGCCGCAATTAATTGTATACGTATAAAGTAAAAAGTTAACATTGTCTGTGCTGTTTGCGGAAAGTTTACAATTTATCTTTTACCTAAAATCTACTTCCAAAAGTATAAATATATAGGTAAATTTGTGGAAAAAAGAAATATTGTAAACTTGCCGCAAATAGCACCGTCAACGTTTGTTTTATATTTTCTGTATATGCAATCAGTTGCGGCTGGTTTATAATTGACAAAATGGCTCTACTATAAGTATTAGTAATAATTATTTGGATCAGCGCCATCTAGCGGTATTTTTTCCGCCAAAAGTGGCCTCTAAAATTCTGAAGCCGATACATAGATCTACTGTCAATTGTAATAATTACAGTAGAGCCATGTAATCGTTAGTATATTTGCATGAATTAATACAAGGAAAAAAGTTCAACTCATTGAAGTTAAATATACCCGATGATAACACGCACGATTTCTCATATTCTAGAAAAAAATCAAAGAAAACTCATTGATGGATGGTGATCCAAAGCTTGTCTAAGTTTCTTGTAGTTTTTTTTTTTTTTTNCGGCTGGTTTATAATTGGTTAATTGGCTCTAGGCGCTAATGCTGCGGGTTAAAAGTTTAGGGCCACTTTTTAGTTCAAAAATCCCCGACGCTAGATGGCGCTGATCCAAATAATTATTACAATTTACAGTAGAGCCATGTAATCAATTATAAACCAGCCGCAACTAATCATCTCGATACAAAACAAAAAGTTAACGTTGTTTTTGCTGTTTGCGGCAAGTTTACTATCTGTCTTTTATAAATCAACCTGCCATAAGTATATTATTTTATACTTTTTTAAATACTCCTTGAATATGAGCCTTCAGCTCTATTCTCACCTTAGAGCTTACTCGTATTGGGTTCGAAACGATTTTTTTTTTAATGGTGTCCTTTGCAGCATTCAATCACCAACTCGTATAAGGGGCTTTTGGTTATTTTGTTAAAATTTGATTGAAAAGCTCATAGTCAGATTTATACATTTTGTATGTTTGTATGTTGTACATCCATTTACCATTGTGTTATTTTTAGTGGTAAAAACTATTTTACGCTTTTTTAAAAAATTTAACTCAAATTTGAAATTATAGTGGTTGGATTATTCGATGATCAAATTACTCGGATGAAAACTGTTACCGTTGCGCTTTACAGTTTTAAATAAAAAACAATTTGCAATGCAACTTAAACTAAACTAAAAAAAAAAAAAAAAAAACTATTTACTAAATACGTATGTACTTATGTACCAAATTTTTCTTTTATATTATATACGGTAACGTGTAATATAAGACAGCATTTCAGTACATATTATATTAGTCCTATACTGCATCACTTTTATACGTGTGCTTGCATGCATGATCAAGTTGTTGGTTCAGAGGATGATACAATCTGACGGTAAAGTCTCGACGGACCTAATTGGAGGTAAGTACATACCTCGCAGTGTTTAAATTACTGCACTTTACGGAAAAAAGTACCCACCGTCAACGATTAATTAACACGCAGTAGGTACATCTTCAAACCAAAACTTGTTATCAAGTCATAATTTTAATACCAAATACTCATTTCGATTTCATGGCTGTACACAACTCACAACTTCAGTACATTGTAGAGCAGCACTGGACGCCCGCTAGAATAGCGATTGTTGAAAAATGATCAATTGAGAAGGCTGTTCACTGTGTATGATACCAGATGCCAAAGATTTGCTGAAAATTGATATTTTCCACACCGATATTGTACTTACCTAAATATACCAAGCGTGTGATTATAATTTGCAATACAGCCAAACATAGATTTATTTGGTACGAGGTATTGCACACGTATAAACTATTTATCACTCAGTGATGCCTGCGTGACGTACACCGATCGAGGCTTTTGTACGGAAATCAGCAATAATCAACATGTATGCATCAAGTCGTTTATTTTAATGCTTGAAATTAATAAAAAAAAAAAAAAAAAAAAAAAGTTTGATCAGGGAAAAACTTTCGCCAATCCTCAAATCACGCATAATGCCCTTGGGACACAATATATTAATACCCTGTGATGCGTTTGACTTGTATCTTCATACTCTGGATTTGTATGATGTTACAGGCTACATGATTGTACCCACCTCGAATCGTCGCAAGTCTTGGACTCGAATCGCAAAAACGCGGCCCTTCAACCAAAGCCGACCAATGACCAAAACTCACCCCCAAAAGCTCGCCCGCGTAAAATAAGATCCTATTGATAAAAGCACCGCACACTCGCGTACAAAAAAAAATCAGTGTGCACATGTAGCATCGAGGAAGCCCCCCTTTTATGTTAACAGTATACTACGTGCATGTTACACCGAGAGAGATGATTCCGTAGGGGCCCTATATACTTATATATAAATGTCTCGCTCTCTTTATCGGCGTACAGATATAATATACAAACCGCGGCCGTGCATGCAAAATAAGCTACATGTGGACGGAGAAGGATTTTGATCGGCGAGGCTTGAAAGGCTACGAGCGCGGGCGAAGGGGAAACTCGAAAATGATGATGATACGAGAGGCCGTGATATAGGGTACCGGTGGTGTGTGCGCGTACAAACACACCATCGGTCCCTTTTTCTCTCTGTCTCTCGTTTCGTATACGCGTATGCACGTACGCATTATATACATCACGCGTATGTATCGCAATTCGCGCCAGAGTGTATACGTGTACACACGCAGATGGGCTATTATACTCGAGGCCCTCCCCCATGTGTACCGCGTATCGGAGAGGAAGAAAATCTCCCGATGCCACATCGCGCGCGTAGCCTTTGGCCGCTCTGTCGTGCGCGCGTACGTTGTAAGGTAAAGGACATCTCGTACGGTGTTTTCGTGAGAGACGATGCAAATGAAACTATAATATGATGTTTAAGGAGTTTGAGGTATATTATACCCTGTGCGCGCAACCAGAGCCAGAGAGAGAGAGAGGGACGGAGTGCAGGATATATTGTTACGGGGTATAAAGAGCTGCTGAGGTGCAGGAAGAAGACGATACGTCGCTGCTGTTGGCGGTGCGTGTACATAATAGCTGATGTGCGCGCTACGGATAAAGAGCTCGGGATGATGTATTTTTTGTGAATAATCGGTTTTGCATTTTCAGAGGTGGTGTACCGATTGTCGGATGCGTCTGTTATACAGTGCTCCGTGGCGATGGAAAAAGTGTGACGGAAAAAAAAATCGTTCGGTTTCACGTTGACGCGGGTGCGCGGAAAAACGAGAGTAATTTCGCGTGGAAATTGCATGTTCGCGCGAGCAAAGCTGGATTTGATTTTTTTTTTTTTTCTTCTTTTCGTAATAGTGTATACCCTCTGATCGAAAAAAAAAAAAAAAAAAAAAAAAATAGTTGGATCAGCGATTGTGAGCCATGACGTTTAAATCGTGCGTGTACAGGGTAAGGAAATGACAAGGTTTTGTGCACTTTTTACGTGCCACTGTGATGCAGAAGTGCCAGTCGAACGAAGAACACGAATGGGACCTCAGTAATGACGTACGTTGGTAGAACGAAACTACTGGATTTTTTTACATATAGCATTTATTCACCGTGTGTAATGAGTTTTGATTTCAAGTGCGACAAAATAATGGCATGCAGTAATAAATCCATGTAGACGCCCAAAGAGGATAGGGGAACAGAGAAAAGGAGAGATCGGGTGCAGTTTAAACAGTGAGGTGAGTGCATGTTCTAGAAAGTAAAAAAAAAAAATTTAGATCACCGATATTTTGGCCACTCAATCAATGGAGATCGGTAACGCGTCGGACTATTTTTTTTTTTTTTTCCTTTACGTACCTATTGGGCCGTAAAATCGTTTGAAGGTTGCCTGTATTTAAATATATCGTTTGTTCAGTGTAACCTGAAAATAATAAAAATGAAGAAAGAAATCGGTATCGCGTCGAAATAAGGAAAGATAAACTAGCCGATCCAATGGAAAAATAAAAAAGAACATCCTCGAAATTGACTTGAACGCGTTAGCTCACCCGCTGAAAATCGTATTGCGGTGATTACCGTGTCTTCGCAGGGCAAACCGCGAAGCAGAGCACATGGGCGCGGAAACTCGATTTTCGTAAAATCGAATAAGGGGCACTTCGCACATACATACATATGTATGTACGAACGAAGGGTGGAAAAGAAAAAGGACGGCTAAGACCTA